TGAATTATTGACGGAATAGTTTTTGTACAAAAGGCAACGCTTTTATCTACTGACTTCTCCCTTCCGTAAGTATTTGCTTCATTGCTACTACTCAAAGTAGTATGTTCCAGGCTCAAAAGCTTACAAAGGAGGTCGGAAAATTGTAGAATGAATTTTGGCTCATCAGGTTTAATTGCGAATTCTGGTGACAAATATAATAAAGTATCCTTTGTTAAGAATAAAAGTAAAAATACACTCATTGTTGTCCAAAGTTAGTGAGTCACATGTATTCTTGCAATTTGTAGCTGTCTATCTGAATTAGGAAGTTTTTACTCGGAGAGTCGTTTGAAAATAAGAAATTTCAATGCATCAGGATCCAAAACGACTCTATATTGTGAGGTTTAAAATTAAGACCAATAGGATCAGTGTCTATGAGAAAGCCATGAAGGACGAACTGTCACATCATTTGTTGAAAAAGTAGCGATACAACCATTTTGTAATCCATCGTTTAATCGCAATTCAGCTTTCTAACTGAAAACATTACTTCAAAACGTTGAAAATGGACGTTTGCCAATAAATTACAAACATCAAATTATGTCTGCTACATTTAGAAAATAAAAAGCGTGGTTTGTCTAAGGAATCATCTATCGTCTTGTTAACAACTTCCACTCCTTAGAAGGAACTCGTGGCCCCAGTAACTGAATCACTGTGTTCACCTAAATAGAACGTCGAAATGTTTCCTGAGTAAATCTTATATTGCTCGCGGCCAAATAGTCTAAAATATCACTCCTCAAGAATTAAAGTTGATAAATATTACCCAGCTGCTTATTTCCTCAAAAGTTAGCGTGAACACATCGAATCTGAAAAAGGAGATTGCCCAAATGCCTTCTAAAGACCTTTCAAGGTAATATGAATACGTATATCACTGGATTAGATTATCACAGTAAATTCATTGACTGGGATACACCAGGTACTGACCGAATTCTATCCAAAGGTGATAATAGGTGCATAAACACGTATCCAATGCTGATGTGTTAAATCTACATGACTAGATACCCATATTGGAATACAAGATCTGAGGAGCCATGTGATCGCCAAACAAATCACTCCATATATGTCGGTTAATTTCAACTCAGCTGCATAATTAATTACCACCCCATAAATGGAAAAAGTTTTAGTATGTCTTTGTTTAGTCGCCTGTTATCTGTCAACAACCCTAATTGTTATATCGATCTATAAATATTTGTAACGTGTTATCTGATCGACGCCTTGGCAGTCTGTACTCGTTTCAGTATAATACAAATGTAACAAATCTGTTGCAGTTTCTGTATTTGTGTTTTCAATAGAACTGTTGGCGGTTCTAGTATCAGTGTCAATATTAATTGAGCTCCATGGCGAGGAGGTCTGATGCCGGTATTAATTCAATGCTAATACCATTTCGATCCAGCTGTCTTCATCAGCCTCCTCATATTCTTATTCTGTTTGATAATACTGTCCATATCGGTTAACTTTATTACCTGAATATGGAATATGTAATGTAGTTGTTTTATATTTAATTTCACTAACGAACCAATTAGTTATTTGTGTAAATTCAACTTCAGTTCTATCATTGATTCACGTATTTCCGTCATGCGTATCAGAGAAGTGCTTCATTGAATTCAAGGGAGCACATTTCTCCTTGATATACTGAGCAAATGAAATATATTTTTTCAAAGTTCAGCTCAATCATCTGGAGGACATTTATTTATATTTATAAGCTGGTTTGTGCACATATTTTGATTCGGAACTTTCAACAATACTTCTTAAATTTGATATGACTATCAAAGGTAATCGACAAAAGCTGGTTACAACAACTTTGTATATCCATAACTACTTTTCTCCGCCCAACGTCTTATTACCCGTCCTACTTGCCACAACTATTGCCGTTTTTCAAGAATATTTCATTCTAAATAGGATTAAAAATATTACTAGATCTTCTATAACACAAGAACGACAGAGTTAATGATGAAATTGAATATTGGAAACCAATATGACCTCAGCGGCTTCTCTAGTTTTGGTTTCTTATGTTATCGCTATTGCTTCTCGTAGCCGTAAGTTATGACTCGTTTCTTTTTAATACATACTTTTGTGAATATGAATAAGCTTTTGTACTCAAAAGTTACTCCTATAGGCATAATTATAGTTTTTTTCGTAGAATTTCATCTTCCGTCGGTTTCCACATTTCTAAAAAATATTCAGTTCGTTGGCTTTTCTAACATTGAATTACCTACCGAATCTAATTGATGATTGTGTTCTTTTGACAGTACGGTTGTTTTCTAATCCAGCGATCTACATGATTTATGCTTGCCTATCACTGGAAAGCGTACTGTGATTTTACATAGACCTGAAATTTCGTCTTTCAACACTTATTAAAACTACAGGCTACGGCGAACTGTTATACGATTTGAAAATATCAGGTATCGTTCTGGGATTAAGTCCGATTTTGATCCACTTTGTCACAAATCCTTTGAGATGATTCTTCCATCACGCGACGTCAGGGATTAACGTCACTGGCGATATGCTTATGGAATTTAGGATTGCAAATGAAATTTTTTTATTTAGTAAGAGTGCTGACGAGACCCACTCTTCCGGAGACCTTTAGCAACTTGTTCATGTTTGAGATATGCTTCTCCTCTCTATAAGTCCAAGTATTGATTAGCTCTGATCTGGATCAACGCCTCTTCAGATCATGGTGAAGGACTAGGGGAGTACATTGGTCATTCCTCTTCCTGTGGGTTCTTTGTCTACGATGTCTTGGTAACTGCACAGAGAGCTCCTCTAACTTTTCCTAAGTAGCTGTGGCAACGTGGACGTGTCTACGAATAGATAACAATACGACTGTCTTACCGCATGGCTAAAAAACGTGACGTATGAAGAAAGGACATTCGCAGTTATTAGACACGATATATAATAGTTCTCAGGTCATAATTCATTGAGAGCTATCACTGTCTATCATTGATATGTCATTTGATTTTTTTAATAATAACCAAGAATCGACTTAGTTTATACTATAATCACCTACTGATGGCACAGATGTGTATATAACTACTGCCCTTTTTGTAACGTTACAGAGGTGAACAGTTTTGTTGTCCTAAACAAGTTACTGTAAGTGAATCGGTTTCGGTCACCGTTTCAGCCCTATGACGAACGGATGGTTTTAGCATGAATTATTGATCTACTGAGAAGCATAGATCAGTGATAAGTTTTTTAAAAAAATGACATGAGGATATGAAATAAATTCACTTACGAAATTACGAGGCAGTTCCGTTATAAGCTGAAAGTTTTTTCATAGCTTATTACGTCTTGACGTTCGGTGATCTTTTCTAGTTGGTCACGAGTACCAGTACGCACGTGAAAAATTTCTCGAAGCTCAATTTAAGACCGTGAAAACTATTGGACACTGTATTTAACCTGTTTAAAACATCGATTGCAGATGGTAACTGCTATGCACTCAAAGTGACGTGTTCCTGGAATATAGCATTTGTTGTAACTACCTGTTAACTAATTTGAAGTGGGAAAAATGTCAGGTTTTTCAGCAGGCTATGTAGGTTTCTCAGGAAATATGTGTCCTTATCTATTAGCCTCGATCATGAATTCGTGTTTTATATGAGGTGAATGACGGATATTTTTTCATAACAATATACTGCATTAAATCCTGATATGCTGTATATATTATTATTTTGTTCTATAATGTCATCTGCATACATAATCACTTAATGTAGCTAATGTATATGATGAAATCATTGAAACAGTAATTAAATGAGTTATTTCTTAATAGTTCGTAGGAATTTGAGATTTTAAATTGTAAATCATCTCCAGATTCAGTTTGAAAGTGTGTGTATACAATAGACAGTGGTATCAATACAGTTGTTCTACTCAACTAAATAAAATCGTTGAAAAGAGCATTATTACTGAATTGTCGTTACTCTTCAATGACAATGGTTTTATTCGTTATTTCAGTCTTTTGTGCTGAAAATAGTTATGGAACTAATGATTATTTACTTTCCTATAACATTCCTTTACAGTGCATGCGGATAATTAAAGTTCGCACTATTGCAGCTACTATATAATAGGATACACTTTGTATTTGATAATGGCACATAGTTCATGAAAATTGTCACCCTATATTTTTAACTATCCCTTGCAAATTAGTTTAAAATTCGTCACTTTAAGTTATTGGGTGTAGGGACATTTCAGTAGTAACTGAGATCAGTATATTGTTTAAAGTAATCATGCTTTACCATCATCACACTATTTTCATTTAATTGTGGTGTCTAGATTACTTCTGATTATCGTTATTATGCAATAGGAATCGGTATCCCATATGTTTACTTATCATGGTAGTCTGATCTCAACAAATCTTTTATAAGGTTTGCTATTTGCTGCGTTTTCTAACGTATTGTTTTTGATTAACTATGTTATCACATGTGAAATATAAACTGTATGGTAAAGTCATTTAATAAAAAAACCCGGTTTCAGACGTGCCGACAGATCAGGCATTTCTGTGAAGAATAAGTTTATTTACCACTTAATTTACTGGATAAAAAAAACTAAGTACGCAGGAAATTATTATGCGTATTGTTTGATCTTGGCATCAGCCAAAAGTTTCTGCTATATCGAAAAATTCAGACATAGCTAAGTAGTGAAATTTTAGGTCGTGTTAATTTTTAAGGTCTTTCAGTTACCTAGGCAACTATAGAATCTTCAGAATAAGCTGACTACAAAAAACTAATGTGTAAGTTATTTAGTTACCTTAGTATAACTGTAGAGAATAAAGTTTTATCCACAACATTTTCTAGCAGACAATGATGATGCATTTTGTAAAACAATTCACAGCTAAATAAAATCAAAGAAATTTGAAAGAATTGATGTATAGGGATGTAGGAAGGTGGATTTAATTGCTTGTTGTAGACAGAAAACGTTCTAAGCACAATTGAATCAAAATATTTTTCTTTTCCCAGGTCAATTTACAGACTTAACTCATGCCAAAGCATCAAAGTGTTTGTCGAAGGCGTACTCTCTCATTTGCTGATATCACAGAAGTAAGACATTAAATATTTAAACGTGATGTGCATTTGCTAGTGCTTTTTTCAGTAACTTTGGTAACATGGTTTTATTGATTGTATGACGTATATCATTGTTACCATATTTCGTCATTATGATTGCATGAGTGAACCTCAATATTGCTAACTCCAGTCTACATTTTTATGTAACATTCCTGTGGTTTTTCTCTGTTTAATAAGTCATCGAAAGGCAACTTTTTGTTTTATTTCAACTGGCTCTATTGAATTCTCAGACTTTAATTATATATTAGTGATTATATCCATATCCACCAACCTGGTTAAAGCGCCGGACATTCTCTTTTCGTCCTCTCAGTTTCGTAAAGAACACCCGCACCGCGAGAATGCAGTGAATAGGGCTTTTTTGGCAGTGTCTGCATACGCATGGCCATGTGAGAGCTTTTCGAGAGGGAGAGCTGAATCTTACCACCCTCGACCTTACCAGGGCATTTGGAGGCTGATGTTTAAAGTATCCTTTTTTCAAACACTTAGTTTTTTGTTTGAACTCTGCTCAACCAATCTCAGTTTTTTCATCTTCGTAGTATAACTAGCTATAACACCTTGAGCGTGACTTATAGCCAAGTAAACAAACCTTTACTACTACGCATAATGGTGGCTAGGCTTACATGATCCATGTTCTAAACACAGTCACTAAGCTTCACAATGTCATTAATCAATTTACAGATTCAGTCTAGTAGACTGTGACTAAACTTAGCTTAGCTAACGTGGTTTCATTATATGAAATCAAATTATTCCGACTTACGCATATTTACTTTCATATACCATTGTCATAAAATGTCATAGTATCAAGCACTACTCAGTACAGTTGCTCTTTGACTAGAAGATGGATCAGTAGGTACATATATGACAGTAGGTATATTACCTTAACGATTTGATTGAATAAATACTTAGTAGGAAGGCGACTCCCTTTTATATTTTAAACTTTTATAAGATTATTTGTCTGTTTAGCTTGTTCTAATGCTTTTTTCACACTTAGTGCCGCAGAATCAATCGTATAAATGTAAGTGAAAATCATGATATTGATTCATCAAAATTATTCGTCGGTAGCATGGTACGTCGTCCTTCTTTCACGCTTTTGGAAGATTACCAAAATACATCTCATGAACTGCCTTATCTTACATTGAAAGACTCTAATTCTCATTTTAAAAGTGCCTGCGAATCCACTGAAATGAATGATTCATTGAAACCAAATTCGAATTCTCAACCTGCTTTGGATCCGTTTATTTTCGGTGTATCATTTACTGAATCAAATTCCGCCAATGCCCAACTTGATGCTATACAATTATCTAAAATGCATAATAATTCACTAGGTTCTACAAACTCACCCTCCTTAAAAGATAAGGAATATCTATTTCCTTCATCACCCTTATCCTCAACTTTGATCAAATTATATCTATCCAAGGTAATTGAATTCTCATACACATAGTTCCCTTTATCATTTTGAATTTATTTGTTTTATCGTTGTAAAGGACGATAGCTAGTAATGTTGTTTATATAACCAAAACTTTGACATAATTTATGATCAAGGTTATATTTATAGGGTGAGATCATATATTCACACAAATTGATCAGTAAACGGCAGCTTATGTAACATTTAATTCTTCGGAATAGATTGGATTTCTTCTACCAAGAAATTCTTTGAAAGCGTCAAAATATGTCTCAGTATTGCAGTATGTTTTAATTGGTATAGGTTAGTTTGTGGAAGTTGCTAAAATATTGTGAAACTAAGTTTCATGTCTGCTACCATTTATTAATTCCGTTTATTGATCGGCAATCTAAACCTGTACTGTACTTCAATAACAATATATTAAGAGATTTTTATGTTTATGTATGATTGACATTTACAACCTTGATTTTATATCTAATTTATAATATCTATAATGATTTCTCATGATTCTTTTGTTTTTATCACCTGGTCTCAATAACCATTTGTAGTGGATTTTAGAGGATTCTTGTAGTTGCAACTTTACAATTTACTTTTGTTACATTTCATTGATTTCTTGATATACTGTGTATAATGTTCAGTCACCTATTATACTGATTTGTAGTATTCTAGGTTTAATCATTTTAATCAAATCAATCGTTTGTTTGATGAAGTACACTAAACTTGTTAATGTAGGTTATATATTTTTATCGTAGAAGTGATCATGCGAAAGTGCTTTTATTTTTTGTCTTCCGATTAACTTTCAATTTTTCAGTGCTAGTTACAGTTCAATAACCAGTATTATTGTAGGATTAATTCGTGATTGGATGATACTAAACTGGAAGAATGACACGAAATCACTTGGAATGTGCAGTTCAACCGTGAATATGTACAGGAAACTCTCCGACTAATCTTTTACAGGTCGTGCATATTAACTATCGTATTTTACGTCTTACATCTTTTGTAACACTGTAAGAACAAAATATTCACTCCACTTGACTTTGATTTATAATCTTTTCTCAATTAATAACCGAATTTACAGTAAATGTTAGAAAAGTTTAAATTTAAAGTTTCTACTTACTTTTAACAAACTAGTGATTGTTGTCAGAGTTTATTCAGTATTATTATGTTTTTCAATGCTTTTTTTAATTATCAGGTCTCTTTATGCTCATCTACAGAAACAAAAGAAGGTAATTTAAATTCAGATGATGAACAACTTGACTTTCATAACAATATATATCCAAATTTGATTGGTCTACCTGGATGCTTACAAACTGTATTACATTCATTAGCTTCTATGGTTATGCCTACTAGACATTTTATTAGTATGAATACAACAACTAATGAAATCAAGTCATCGAATTTAACAAGATTATCTTCATTAAATGAGAATTTTAAAATTTATCACTTAAAATGTCATCATACTGATGGAAGTGCATATAATACAGATGTAAACTATTCAAGTTGTACTGAATCTTCAAGTATATTAGATGATGTTTCAAATGGTTATTACTCAGATAATTATCTTATTGAAGCAGCTAAAAAATTGAAGAAGTCTCATATGATAAATAATCATTGGCCAACTGTAAAATATAATCAGCATCAATCTAGTCAAATCTCTTTACTTTCAGGTAAATGTATGTCCACATACATTTTAATATTGCCTTTCTTAAAATTTCGATCAACTATTATGGGATATTTATTAATTTGTAATAGTTCTTTTTAAACTAACCTTATCATGATCATTAACGTCATGGTTAATTTATAGAATCTCAACTTAAGATTTTACATTTTAGTGTGCTCTTGTTTTATCAGTAATTATATAGAATCTTCATTAAATTTGTAACGAGCTTTAGGAATTTTAGTTATCTCATTATCAATATCTGTGAAGCAACGTTCTTAATATTACTCTCAAGAATATCATATATATTAACGGTGAACCTATAGAAAACAGCCGTATCAATATAATAGTTGGTTAATTTAATTCAATAACCAATTATGGGTTAATATCTACTCGGCTATGGACTATATCTTTCGCATGTTCATTAATGAATGATTCTATCTAGTGGAAGAGACTGTGTGAATTTTGATTTCAGTGGTTGAAATACAAGTCTCATAACTAGTATTCTTACGGCCTTAAAATAACTTAATGCGTTCAAAATGGTTTCGTTTATTAACTTCTATAAATTGACATTATATTTTTTGTCGTATTCAGTGCTCACTGTTGATTAGTATCAGTGCTGAAAATGAGTTATTCAAGCGTTATTGTATTTCTTCTTATGTTGCTCAATCTCTTACTGGTCTTTTATAGGTAGTGTTTTAAGCTTTATAATATAATTCTTATCTATTTTTGTAGTATATAATGAGTATGAAGGGTGAGTCAGTGTTTATTAGCAGTTTGGTTTTTATTTTCTCTCTTTTTAGGAGGACAAATGATCGGGACAGTGTATTCGTAACTTAAGAAGGTCTTCTTACCATCGCTGATACTTTCACACAATTTCATCCTACTAATTCTACCATTGTTGTAAAAAACAACTTTGGGCTGTTCTATACTCTCTAGTAAACAAGAAATAATAATCACAGGCTTTCATCAATTTCCTGTTGGTGAAAGCCTATCATAAAGAAGCAGTGTTGATATGGTGGAGAAGATTTGTAGCTCAGAAGGATGATTTTGTTGGAATTGCGTTGTCTGACCTCAGAAGACGCAATTGCAATAAAAGAAGTAATGTTGGACAAAGAACTAAACAGTTTAAAATGGTAGTACAATAAGCATATTACCAATTAAAAAGTAATTTCTTGATATCCACTATTAATAACAAATTCTTAACATTATATTCTTCTGATAAACTGTCGACAAATTCCAAATAGGTCATAAATCAATTTTGTTGTTACTTTTAGCAGATAAACGATAATGAACTTATGTTTAATTATGTAGAGATGAGACGAATCATGAAACAACTTACCTAATAGATAGTAAATCACATAAATTTAATAACTAATTTATGCGATCAGTATATTCAACTTAATCTATAAACACAATTTAAATCATCATTTGTCTCGGAAAATTTATCCAATAGAGACAAACGTAGAAAGTTTCTTTTCAGAAAAATTCATAATAATTTATTGATTACTTTGTAGATACATAGTTAGAGAGCTAAGGAGTTCATTGAAGTACTGATGTAAATCATGGAGTCTACATCTAAATTTCATACTATGAAAGTAAATATTCGTGAATTTTAGTATATTACTGGTCATTCTATCATTGTTTATTTGAATACTCCAATTTTCTAATCATTTACTTCTGCCATCCCATTCTTTATAATTTCCTTATTATTATGTTTTTTCTCACTTGTTTCAAAAAGAAAAGATAGTCTAATCACCTTGGTATGAGTAAAACAATCCAATAAATATATCATTTGTATACATTTTCAAAGATTTTTTCACCAATTATTTTTTCTAAGCATAAGTGTTAATTATATGCTATATGTATTTTCTCTTAATTTTTCCCAAAATTATCACTTCCTAGATGGACATTCAAAGTTAAAGTCAGCATATATTCATCATGTCAACCATCATCACCATGGTAAATGTCACCATAAACTTGGTTTGACGAATGTTTATGCAGGTTTAAAATCTAATAAGGTTGGTGATACTTCTACAGTTTCCTTGAATCAACCTCAATCTCATAATAACAATTATAAGTTGTGTCTAAAGTCAAAGAATATCATCAGTAATAATGATAATAATATTACTAATACTAACAATCTGTCAGATACTGTATCAATATCTCAAGATATTAAAAGTTGTAATTTATTAGAACGTTTTTACAATTTGTGCACTAATTTCCATTCAAAACTAACAGAAGATAATTTCTATTACATGGATGAAAAATCGTTAGAACGACGAGTTCGTGCACAAGCATCAAATATAATTTCACCTGTATCATTTTAACAATACATTATGTCTATGTAGATCAATGATGTTATCTGAAAAGAATTCGATTAATTCTTAAGTAATAGTATTTGTTATGCATCGTAAATTATGATTGAAACACTTTTCTTTCATAATAATGTAACATGTTTTGTACTTTTTTCTTTCAAATCTTAACAAAATGACACTTGAAAAGAGAGTTCATTTAAAATATATGTGTGTATCACCTAAAAACTAATAATGTTTATCTTATTTTGACACTGTATCTTTGATTTTACAGTTGGCCATCAACAATATATATACTATTTTTTTGTTGCGTAACAGCTGATATCTCAATTCAAGTGTTTATCCGTGTTTCTCTCTCTCGATGTTTTTTTTCACTTTTTATGTAAGCTCATTTATATTTTGCCTGTCTTTCTTGGCTGTGGCTAGTTTTACTGTTTGCTATCCCCTATATTGATGTATATAAATTCGTTTATAAGACTACGAGAGAGAATTTGTGTGATTGAGTGTTGTTAAGTGTTGATGTTCTATTTTTCTTTCCTTTACGCACATTTACATTTGTTTAAATTGTACTTTTGTAAATATATAGCACTGATATGTCCTGTTTTCTTATTTAAAAAAAATAGCTTTTGTATTTGACGGAGTAAATCTTCACCTTTATGCTGTGGTGAATCTCAATTCCAGTTACCAGAACAGGGTATTTGTAGCATATTCGATCCATTAAAACGGTATTTGGATGTGTAGTTAGATATAAGCTTTGCATTATCAACAAGTAAGGTGTTTCTACAAAATTAACACAAACCTATATCCATACTCTATATGAATCGGTCAACGTAGTCCGCGTGAATGCTCAGGTTGTTGCGGAACTTTTGTTATTGGTGTAGTAGATCTATGTTATCTTTAGATGAACTTGTAAAGATTTTGTATACTCTGAAGATAGTTTACACTAGAGGTTCATGACATCCGAAGAGTGAATAAAAGCCAGCAACAAGTGTTTGGCTTTAGTTATTAGTGGTTACTTCCATTCAATACGGAATAAAGCCCGAAAAATTCAGGTCTCACGGTATGATATAACTGAATCTATCGACTGTCCCACATTTCTAATTTTAGTCAATTCATGATATAATAAGGTCTTCATACAATTGTATAAGGAATGAATTAGGTTAAAGAAATCTATTCAGTATTTGATGATTTTAATTAGTTCTCTTATTAATATCAGTTGGTGACAAATATATTATTTTTAAGTGTAGTAATAATAATCGTTTCTCAGTGCAATAAACGGGAACGACAAATGAAAATAATGTTCTAGCACTGGTTATACAATTTGTCGATTATTTGCATTCATATTTTATTTTGTTTATGTACAATAAATACACATGCTATTTTGGACTCATTGGTCTAATTAACAATTCATTGGGATAGCCCATTGTGTAATTGTATAAGATAAAAGCAGCATTGATCGTCTTGTGATGTTACCTATTGCTGAAATCATGTGCCTTAAAGCTTTCATCTCTATTTTATAGTGGAAATTTCGCTACACCTACAGGATTAAATCACGGAAACACATGATTGTGTTTACAATAGAAAATTTGTATAAATTTACATATTTTATCTTCTATACTTGTGTCACATTTTCGACGGAACATACCCACTGTATTGGATAGAGAAGTTTTCTTAAACATTACCTTATAGTATATATAATACTTCGGTTTATTATATGTGTAAGCTTTTCATCCTGATACGAGGACATTTAGCAAACATGAGCTCGTTCGTTGCTCAAACAACGTGGAATGATTTTATTCAGTGTTTTCTTTTGTTAATTTGGGCGTGTTAATACTGAAAAGTGAATAATAAATTACCCAATTTTTTTGGATTTTTAGGTAAAAGAATTAGTTCTACTAACTGGTGTTTGATGTTGTTCTCGAAAATTGTGGTCCTTTCTATTAGTTGATTAAACCAAAGTCTTATTGTTGCCTCACTTTAGTGTGCTTAATCTTCTGCATCCACGAACGTGAGTAAATTCATATTGTTCACAATCTCAGTACGTATGAAGATCGTTTTTTTATCTTGTAATACGATCAATAACGCATACTGCTATAAGGTCTCAGGCTGGAATCAAATAACTATCCAGTACTCTATAGTTTTCAGTTATGCTCTTACTGGTGTTGGGTCTCATTAAAGACTATATACAGATTAGAGAGACCACAAGCCATGTAACAAACTTTATTAAACGTTTCCATCGAAATCCTGATAAATTGTATTGACTTTGACGACATTAATTAAGGCTGTTGAATATCCTCTTATTCACTTAATATGGAAAATGTAGTACAAATCCAATACTTTCATCCTAAATTTTGTTAGGTTTCCCATTTTAAGGCAGGTGTGCCTAGTCATTAGTTTTTATTATAATTCTTTAGTGGCATGCAATACCCAATCTAACATTTTCATTGGTACACCTGATATTTAGTTAGTGTTTATGTGGAGCATAAATTGTAGAAATTAGTCTTGTACATCAATGGATCTTAGCTTATCGGTCCAGAGTTTAAGCGTTCGTGCGTGAAATGGCCGTCCATTGCCTCTATGTTGTCTAACTTTGATTAGTTCGTGATTTCAATGACATTTCATAACAGTTTAGTAGGTGGTCACTTTTTACGCAGTTTAAGATAATAGCGAATGATTTAATAGTTCACAATTACTTATCAATTGATACCGATATTTGGTTAGAATCATTTCCACTTAGATACACTTGTCTACATATTTTCTGTTCAGTTCATCACACACATTCAGTTAATTTATGAAGGGTGTGTGTATTATTTGTTGAACACTTACTTGATAGGTTCGTCTGTAAGAAATGATCAAAAGAAAGTAGTAAGTTTGTTAAGTTTTAATATCTATGTATGCTCAGATTCTTTGAGATAAGTAGATCTTCAAAGACCTATAGTCGAATAGCTTGAAACTACAATTTCAAACAAGGGGATTTGATCAGCTTTGAGATTTAGGAAATTTATCATTGCTTACTAATCAAAGAATATCTAATATGCAATGTGACATAGATGTTTCAAGGGACTACCATGTTGTAAGAGGAATTTTTAGCTGATCTGAGTAAAAGTTCAAATATGTAAAAAATATTTACGTGATTTTTAAATTGTTCTCTCTTTCATGGGATCAAGAAACTGTCAACTTAGTAATCATTAATTCCCCCAAAAAATGAAGTGGAAATCAATTAAATTTTATTATTTAGTCATGTTAATCAATATTTCGAGACGACCTTCCATTTTAATTTGTACTTTTAGTACCTAATATCTCTCTGTTAATTGTTTTTATTATTAAGAGTTAAAAAGTTAGTAATATTCCCAAACATTTTGAATGTTTCTGTTTACTTTGAGATATATCACTTCTTCTTCTATTATCAACGAAGTTAATCATAAAGAAAACTCAAAAAGAACTGAAGACATATGTAGATTGTTTGTAAAAAAATATCAGTTAAGTAGAGGTTACTAAATTCGTAATTAATTTAAACGGATGTATTTTACTGGTGTGTGGATAAATGAATGAATTTTTTCCCGATTATCCAACTGCACGATACTACTAAAATGATATTAACTATGCCAAATCTCAGAATACTTCAACTGATATAAATCACTTTGTCAGATGAACAGTGAAAAATTAACAATGAAAAAGAATACTTTTTCATATCATACATATGAGTTCACACGAAAGTGATGGTTCCTGATTATTCAGTTGTGCTCTAGCTTGTTTTAATTAGCTGTCAAGGTCACCGTAATGTTTTAAATATTGAAAAATTCATTGTGGCGGTTTAGAAAAATACTACTATACAACTTTAAACTTTATCGCGTATCTTTGCATTGGTGCGTATAGAATAAAAAGATTTTCTTGGTACTATAGCCATTTGTATTAAATACATAGAAATTATAAAATCGTTTAGATGTGAAAGCTTACGAAATTCAGGGGTAAAAAATAAAAGAATTTCTAGATGAAATAATTTTTTCAAGATATATCAGTTAAACAGACCTTTAGTTAGTAAAAAAGATTATGGAGACGTCGCTTAAAGATATTCGATTGTACATTACTGTTGTCCAATTTTAACAATGTAATGTATGTTCATTCAAATTGTACGCAAATATTTCGCCTCACTGCCTATTGGAGAAACTTATAGAAACGATTCCTTTATAATGTTCATATGGAAAAACTTGACTTAACTTCATAAAACTACTTTGAATCGCGCATTTTTTATTTGCTTCGATAAAATATGCTATTTGATTCATGGAATCTATTGATCAGTGAAGGCACAATCGATATAAACTTGTCTAATAATTTGTTTTTAATTTATAGTAGAATCCACAATTTCGTTACCACAGTTTACAGCTTTTTAGCACTAAATATTCTATTTCTGGAAATCAGTTACAAGTGAATATATATGAACCGATAGTCATCAAGCTATCAGTACTCAGTCTTAGCTTCAAGGATCATTACATTTTATCTAAGAAAATGTGCAGTACTAATGAATCATAAGAATTAATTCAGTGTGAAAATGCTGAAAGTCTTAGTTTTCACTTTTAGGCGTACACTAATAATAACGTCAAAAATATTTATGAAATGTACATCAGTTTTTAAAGAATTTGTTGAGTCATTTCCATTATGCTGAATATAAGACCCCATCGATACCGCTTCACTTAATTGCTTTGCAAGGTCTATCACCTTGTGTTTCAGTGACGTTCAGTATAGTTGCTTATCATTTGGTTTTATGTTTATACTTTTTTCAATCCCACCATAACTTTAATGACGTGTTTCCTAGATATTGTACGTAAAGTTTCCCTCATTCAGTATTTTCACTTTTACAGTTGGTTTCTTGACTGTAGTTGATGTAATGGATGTAGTATTTACTGTGGTGGGTACATATGTGAAAGAGGCATCCACTTTATACAATGTTTTGTGTTGTTCAAATACTCTTGTTTATATTGTGAAAGCTTTTAGATTTGTCTTCTTTTAATCAAATC